GTCCCTCAGCTCTTCAACTCAAGGGTAGCCCTCTACCACTTAAGCCACAGCACCACTTCCAGCTTTTTCTGCTTATGTGTTACTGAGGAATCAAACCCAGGGCCTCATGCATGCAAGGCAAGCACTCTACCACTAAGCCACTTTCCCAGCCCCTCTTTTTTGGTGGTTGTTGATTGTGGGGCTTGAACTCTGGGCCTGGACGCTGTCCCTGGGCTCTTCAACTCAAGGCTAGAGCTCTACCACTTGAACCACTTCCAGTTTTCTGGTGGTTTATTGGAGATAAGAGTCTCATAGACTTTTCTGCCCAGTCTGGCTTTGAACCGCAATCCTTAGATCTCAGTCTCCTGAGTAACTAGGATTATAGGTGTTAGCCACTGGTACCAGCTTATATTTTTCTTTCCTTTTGGTTATTTGCCATTTTGAGGAATCATCTTTGTGGAATGATCTTCCTCTGGTAGAAATTACTAAATTCTAGTGGACTGGAAATAATCAGGATCAAAATTAACTTTATTATTTTTGTCTTTTTTTTCTTTTTTGGTACTGGGGATTGAACCCAGGATGTTGCACTTGCTAGGCAAGCGCTTTGTCACTGAGCTACATCCCAGCCCTTCAAAATTAACTTTATTTATTTATTTATTTTTATTATTTAAATCTCGTTTAATCATCTTTTTTTTTTTTGCTTTGACCATTTTTTTTATTTTATTTGTGAAGATACTGTACAGAGGGGTTACAATTACATGGGCAGGATAATGTGTACATTTCTTACCAAGCATTGCAACCTCCTCCTTTTGTTTACCCTTCACATCCCTTCCCAGCCTCTCCCCTACCCCCTCAAAATTAACTTTAAAAGACATGCAAGTAACTCTTATCTTCCTGGAGAAGAGCTGTGAATCTGGGAGCCTAGAGTACTCCCAATGAACCTAGATGTGACTGCTAGCATGTTAGTAGCCTATCAGTATATGAACTAGTCAGCTCTTGGTCATCCAGAAAAGTAGAGGGAAAACCAGGTCCTTGTGGATTTGGGTGTTGTACTTAATCATATGCATTGAGCATGTTTTGTTAATTTAACCTATTAGAACCCCTGTGCTATAGAACAGAAGCTACAAGCATAATCTGTCCATTCAGGTAGAAATTCTAGGACTGTCATGAGTGTTAGCGCCAGGTGGTTACTACTGCAACAGTCGAAAGGAGTCACATTGGAAAGAACCTATGTTTACCATCAGATCTGAAGTTCAAGTCCCAGTTTTTCCTTTACTGGGGTTTGAACTCTAGGGCCTCAGGCTATTCAGCTTGCTTGTTTGGATGGCATTTTACCATGAGTCATGCCTTCAACTCAGCTTTTTACTGATTATTTTGGAGCTGGAATTTCATGGACTTTTCTACCTGGCCTGGCATGGAACAGTGATCCTCTGGATCTGTCTTCTGAGTAGCAAGGATTATAGGCATGAGCCACTGGCATCCAGCTGAGTTGTATACTTTTTTTTTTTTCTTTCTATTTTGTGGGTCATGGGGCTTAAAATCAGAGGCCTGGGCCCTGTTCCTCATCTCTTTTGCTCAAGGTTAGTACTCTGCCATTTTGAGCCACAATGCCACTCCTGGTTTTCTGGTGACTAATTGGAGATAAGAGCCTCTCATACTTTCCTGCCTGGGCTGGTTTTGACTGTAATCCTCAGATCTCAGCCTCTTGAGTAGTTAGCCTTACAGGCCTGAGCCCACCAGTACCCAGCTGAATTGTATACATTATAATTATAATTATTTTGCCAGTCCTGGGGCTTGAACTCTGGGGCCTGGGTACTGTCCCTGAGCTTCTTTTGCTCAAGCCTAACACTCTACCACTTGAGACACAGTGCCACTTCTGGCTTTTTCCATTTATGTGGTACTGAGGAATTGAACCCAGGGCTTATACATGCGAGGCAAGCACTCTACCACTAAGTCACCTTCCCAGTCCATGAGTTGTATACTTTAAATCACAATTTCTTCAAGTGTGAAACTGAAGTATGTTCAGTAATAATGTCTATTTCCTAATGTTATTGTGAGAATTTAATTAGATTATATTTACATGAATAGAGCTCGAAACATTCAAATTGTTGTAGAAATTAGTTATGGCTGTTATTAATCATTTCATGCTTACACTGAAGCTTTTGCTGATCCATTAAAGTACATTCAACAGTATAATTTACATATACCCAGTGCATTCAAAAAATGTTTTAGTAGTGTTAAAATAGACTTTCTTTTGGGGGGGAGTGATTGCTATTGGTGTTTGAATTCCTCCTTGTACTTGCTAGGCAGGGGCTTTACCACTAAGCCCTGCTTCTAGCCTTTTTTTGTACTGGTATTTATTTATTTATTTGGCCAGTCCTGGGCTTGAACTCAGGGCTTGGGGGCTGTCTCTGAGCTTCTTTTGCTTAAGGCTAGCACTCTACCACTTGAGCCACAGCACCACTTCTGGCCTTTTCTGTTCATATAATATTGGGGAATTGAACCCAGGGCTTTTTTTGCGGGGGGGGGCGCGGTTGTGGGGCCTGAACTCTGGGCCTGGGTGCTGTCCCTCAGCTCTTCAGCTCAAGGCTAGCGCTCTACCACTTGAGCCACAGCGCCACTTC